TATATTTATAAATAATTTAGTAAAATAACATTTTTAATTAAAAATATTTTAATTATTAAAATTATAAATTTAAACATTTTTTTTAATTTTTCTTGCAAATTGAAATTGGCAGAAAAATTCGCATAAAAAGTTATGTGCGAAATTTTTACCATTTAGTAAACATTACTTGCGAATTTATTTTTACAAGAAGATCTGCAAGAAAAAAATAAAATTCTTACGACATTTTTTGCAAATTTTTACCATAGAAAAAAATTTCTATGATCATTAAAATTGTAGCAAAATTTGCAAAAATTTCTTGTAGATTATTTTTTATAAAAAAATTTGTAAAAAATATCTGTAAATTATTTTTCACAAATAAATTCGTAAATATTTTTTATGAAATTATTATTATAAGAAAATTCTCAAAAAAAAATTTACGAATATTTTTTTAAGAAAATTTTGTAAGAAAATAAAAATATTTTTCTAGTAGTGACACTTAAAAATTAAAAACACATTTAAGTTTTGTTAATAATTCGAGGTCATCCATGATCCATCTGTTTTAGATATATATAAAAAAAAAAAAAAAAAAAGCCTTCTTTGGGTCAGTAACACGTGGCTTCCTTCCTCATTCTTGTTCTTACCGCTGGCAATTTGTTTTTTCTCTTCAATTCCATATGCGTTGAACCCAAAAATAAAAGTAGGGTGTCACTAATTTATAATCAATCAAACATGTGTCACAATGGCATAAGATAATCAGGTTAGTTAAATTCTAATCATAACATAATATAATTTTTTAGTATTAAAAATTATAAAAACTCCATTTTAATTTAACATTTTATTTTGAAAATTATATTTAAAAATAAAATAAAAAATTTGCAACTATCTCAATGACTCAAACTAAAGTACACCCTTAAATTAATAGGAATCACGCTAAGGTAAGGTTTCTATCTAATTCATCTAGAGTAGGATCTACTCTATTTGATTTTCCAGTTCTGCCTGGCAGCCTGGCTGACTTAATAAAGAAATGGAACCATAGCTAAGACTGATCCATGAGTCTTCTCTCTCCTTGATCTGTCTACTTCTATTTTGACTAATCTCATCAACCAACTCTCATCATTATATGTAATACCAACTTGAGTTTCTTAATTAAATTGTGCAGATTCTAATTTTGATCTTCAATATAAAATATTATATTAAAAGAAAAATGTTCATCTTATATAATCCTTCAACATCCAAGACCCACCTAGCGAAGCAGAATCAAAGCAGCATAAAAGATGGATAAACTTATTTCAAACGGGTTTATTGTGGGATCTGTCCCTGAAGACTACATATTCCCTCCAGACTTGAGACCAGGAAACCTCGAAATCCCCTTCAGCAGCAACATCACTGTGATTGATCTCAGTGAAGCGCAGAATGGTGATAGAACCAACACAATCCATAAAATTATCAAGGCTTCTCAGGAGTTTGGATTCTTTCAGGTTAATTCACTCATCATACTATTACTTTTTAATTTATTAGTATTATAAATCTTTCGTGTACCAAACATCTCTTTAGAGATTGTAGAACTTGTAGTTAATGTTTTATGGAAATTGGGAAGTAATGTGAGATTAGAGCAGGTTATCAATCATGGAATCTCGGTGAATCTAATGAATGATGTAAGGAGTGTTTTCAAGGAGTTATTTGAGATGCCAGCTGAGGAAAAACAAAAATTGTGTTCAAATGATCCTTCAAAGACATGCAAGATGCTCACTAGCAGTTCCACTTATGCAACTGAAAAGGTTCATCTGTGGAGGGACAATTTTAGGCACCCATGTCTTCCTTTGGAGCAGTGGCAACACCTCTGGCCTCAAAGTCCAATCAGATACAGGTAAATTAATGTGAGAAATTTTAAAACTTTTATTTCTTTATTTACAATAACAAATTGTTTTGGTTCATTCAAATATTATTTGAATTGAAGATTTTTCCTTTTTCCACAGAGAATGTGTTGGGGCGTGTTCAGTTGAAGTTAAAGAGTTGGCATCGAGGATCTTGAGTTTGATTAGTGAAGGGCTTGGTCTCAAGTGTGGATATTTTGAGAATGATCTTACTGAATCAATACATTTGAATGTTAATCATTATCCACCATGCCCTGAACCAAGTTTGACATTGGGAATAACTAAGCACTCAGATCCAAATCTCATAACCTTTTTACTCCAAGATGATGTTTGTGGGCTTCAAGTGTTCAAGGATGGAAAGTGGATCGCTGTTGATACCTATTCCCAATGCATTTGTGGTAAACATAGGCCACCAATTACAGGTACAACTTTTTTAGTTTGTGTTTGGATCTTTGTGATTCACAGTCTCTCTTATATTTACGTCAAACTGGCTAAAATGAACATGAAAATCTGAAACTACATAGAATAGCTTTGATATATATGAACGTGATTTTAGTTGACTTAATGAGAAGCCAAACAAACTTTTATGAAAAATGTTAAGCAGTTTTCTTAGGTCACTGTTTTAAAAATCAAAAATATTTTTTTTATTGAAATTTATTTCTGTACATTTTTCCTTATAATTTTATCACAATTTTTAATAAAAACTTCTATACATTAACTTCTTAACCGGTGCTTAAGACATCCATTAGCAAGACCCTTTTTTCTTATTATTTAGTCTATAGTCTATGGATTGTTTTCATTGCAATTAATAATGAACTAAATTAAATTTGTTTATTTTCTTTTTCAAATTTGTCTCTTTAGCATAGATAAATGTATTAACCGGAAAATTTTGTGGACTTGTGGGGGGTTAAGATAATTAGTAATGGTAAGCTGAGAAGTTCTGAACACCGGGCTGTGACAAATTCACGTGTCAGTCGCACTTCTGCTGCCTTCTTCGTGGCTCCTTCAGATGAATGTATCGTGGAGCCAGCACAGGCTCTCACTGATGAACATCACCCTCCAATTTTTAAGTCTTTCAAATACAAGGATTTCAACTCATACTACTTTGCAAAATATGGTGATACAGACGAGGTGCTGAAATCATTCGAAGCACAAGAGAGTTAAGTGATCTGTGTGGAATGCATAATAAGGTATATATATGTGATATATATATTCCATTATGTAGTCGGGAATTACTTTGGCATTACTTAATGTCATGGTAGAAAATAGGGGTGAGCATTAAACCGACACCCGAACCGAACCCGAAAAATCCAATAAAAAATATTGTTTTTGGGTGGGTTCGGGCGGGTCTTATGGGTAAATCGGGTTAAAATTTTGATTTTATACGGGTTATATTGGGCGGGTTCGGTTTTGAATTTTTAAACCCGCCAAAAACCGAACCCAACCGAAAATGAGATAAGTTTAAATTTTTATTACTTTTGTATAACTAAATAACAATGGTCCAAACTTAAAAGTCTTTATTTCAAGTATAATATAGCCATCAATTTGTAACTTATTTTTTTCCTTTTTCTCATAACTTAGATATTTATTTTGTCTTCTCCTTCCTCATTCAACTTCTCAACACACTAGTCCATTTTTAGAGTTATCTTTTTGCTTCTTTCTTTGTCTTTCTTTTCCATCTTCTTATCTCCATTTTGAGTACATTTTGTGTGACTGTGATTTCTTATGATTTTGTAATCTAACTTTATATTTCTTTTCCATGTAACAACTATGAATTTTGTTATCTTTTATTTTTGCTTCTTTAGTTTGTAAATGTTTCAACTACGAATCTACTTACACCATCTATTGTCACCTTCATTCTATTTTTATACACTATTTTAAAAATATTTTTTATCGTTTTAAGCTTCATCTTCCTTAAGATAAATTGGTTTACAAAAAAATTCAAACCCGATTATACCCACTCGCTTAAATCCGAATCCGTTTCAACCCGAACCGCCTCAAATCGAAAGCTCAGTCGGTCGGATATGGGTCACATTTTTTCAAAGTCGGTTTACAATGGGTTGGACATTTTTCACCCGAACCCGACCAAACCCACCCGTTGCTCACCCCTAGTAGAAAAGATCCTTCAAGAAATAAATGAAGTTTCCCAGTTTGGTGTAGTACGAATTTCTCATATTTTGAAATTGTGTGCAAGTTGTAGATGCAAGATATTAATATTATTGACGACTATTAATTAACCATGCATGCATGGTATATATTTACTATTACTATACGTACTATCCATCTGTACAATGATAGCTATTTATCCTCAATTCTCTCCCTATCATTAATCCGGCTTGAAGCCTACTTTTAAATTGCAATTTCAAAAGGATAATAGGTGGAATAAATTCTTAAAAAAGTAAAATGTTCGAATAGTGTAATATTGAACTAAGTTATAAATTGTCATAAAATTCACATCAAATTAAACGAATTGTGATTGAAATATTGCGAATATTTTTAAATAATCATTATCTTTATATAATTATAGTAAATGTTACTATATCTGTCCGTTTTGTAGTTCATTAGATTGTTATGATTTTTTATTTTAAAAGACATTTTGATGGGACAAAAAAAAAAGAGTATTTATAAATTATTATTAACATCAATTTTTAAATTGAGTTTAGGGCCTACTAGGTTAGTATTTATATTGATAGTACCAATGACAATCCACTAAAAAAAAATGTTTTCTTCACATGCGCCGCACATTAAGATTCAAAACTTTAATCATGTTAGGTCAATGTCATCGGAACCAATCACTTTACAATGTGTTTGGACAAATTTTTTTTAAAATTCAAAAATTTAAATTATTTTGATTTCAATTTTCATTATTCTATAAATTTTGTTTGGAAAAATTAATTTAAATTTTTAAATTTTAAATTTTTAGTTTTGATAGAATAATTTGATTTTCACTAAGCAAAATTAATTTTAAACATATATATAAAATGAAATTTTAAGATTATTAAATTTTATAAAACTTAATATTAATCAATTTTTAATATTAGATATAGTATTTAACAATTTAAAAATAATTTTAAATATTTAATAATTTAAAAAATTATTGATATTTTTTATATCACTTTAATTAAAAGAGAGGACAATTAATGCGCCATGACGGAGAAAAAGCAAGGCGATTTCTTCTCTGACCCACTTGAACCGGAACCACCGGATCGTGAAGGCTCATCCACCTCACTCCCAACGTCGTTTAAAGACAAAGTCTTGGGGAAGACCTCTCGACCTTCCCAAACTCGTGATCTTGTTAAAGATGGCTCAATGTCGCTGGAACTAGTGGAAGGGAACCGCCTCCTTCCAAAGTTTAGCATTGCACCAACGAAGTATGAAGAATTGTGCGGACCATGGAAGAAATGCTTGATAATAAAACTCTTGGGGAAGAACATTGGCTTCTTAACTATGAAAGACAGATTAAGGGCCTCTTGGAAACTTGAAGGTGACTTTGACATTATAGATGTTTCTAATGGTTTTTTCTTGGTGAATTTTGATCTGAATGCAGATAAAGAGAAGATAATGCATGGAGGACCTTGGATGATCTTCGACCACTACTTAACAGTTCGACAATGGGATCCTGAATTCTCCGCTCTTGAATCCAAAGTGGATAAAACTCTCGTCTGGGTTCGCTTCCCGGGCCTCGGCATGGTTTACTACAACGAGAGCGTGCTCCTCACCATCGCGGCAGCAAACGGTAGACCAATAAAGGTTGACCTAAACACCTTGAATATGAATAGAGGAAGATTCGCTAGGGTGTGCGTAGAGATCGATCTCAACTCTCCCGTGGTGGGGAAGTTTTGCTTGAATGATCGATGGCACAAGGTCGAATATGAGGGCCTACATCTCCTATGTACTGGATGTGGATGTTACGGACATCTTATACGTGAATGCCCAAAAACAGTTTTTGAGTCAACAAAGAAGCATGAAGATGGATTCGAAAACACTCAGAAGGAGGAAGAAATACATAAGGCATCAAATCAAATAGAGACCCAGCCCATATCAAAGACAGAAGGAAACAGTAAAGCACAATCATCTATTCCCATAGACGTGCATGGAGAATGGATGATAGTAACTCGCAAGAAAAGAAACACTCCCCAAGAAAGAAAAATTCTTGGACAAGGGAAAATCCACAAAGGTAGTTCTTTTGGAAACCCCAGCAAAAATGGTATAATCAGTGATAAGGAGAAGGAGAAAAATCTCCAGTTTAAGGATTTAACTACCCAAGAAGGTAAGTCTAGCGTGAAATACATAGGTGGTAGTGCTAAGAATGATAGGAAAAGATCTAGATTGGATAGTAACAAGAATCCAAATCCCAAAGCCATAATACCCAGAGGGAGTGAAACCCCATTAGCAAAGACGATAGGTTTAGGGTTGAACCCTTTTTTGGAGGGTCCTCGGAGTTTAGCAGATGGCTCTAAGACAACCCATGATATTACTTCACTGGGTGGCCCTCGTTATCTTCTCCAGTTTGAGAAACCCTCACAGGTCGAGAGCTGGTCTGATGATTCCTCAAATGGATCGCTGTCACCTAAGGAAACTCATGAAGGAATGCATATAGATACCTTACCCTCTAGTCAAAGGAATGATACAACCTTCAGGGTAATGGATACTGACATGACCTAGTTTTGTGTCAATTAATAGTCATTTCTTGTTTATGATGAACAGATTCAAAGATATGAATATCTTAGCATGGAATATTAGAGGCGCAGCTAATGCAAAGGGTCACTACAGAATTAAGGAGTTAGTCAGACAATTTAACCCTTCTTTAATTATTTTGCTTGAAACTCATTGTAAATTTGCTTCCACATCTCGCTTCTGGCATTCGATTGACTATGAAGCCCTACACCTTGTGGAGGCCACTGGGCATGCTGGCGGCATTTGGGTCCTTGCTCCCAAGTACAGAGATTTTACTACTTTGGAGGTGAAAATGTTCTCACAAGCTATCACATTCAAAGTTTCTTCAAAAGCTTCTCATTGGATCTGCACTGCAATATATGCAAATCCCCATCGTCATATCCGCCAAGCACTCTGGGACCATTTAGATAGTGTTCGTGAAGAGGTGTCTCTTCCCTGGTTGGTTCTTGGGGACTTTAATGAGGTCACGTGTGCATCAGAAGTGCAAGGCGGCCACTTTTCTCCTGCAAAAGCTACTCGATTTAATGAAACCATTGACAAGTGTAAACTCCTTGACCTTGGTTGTACTGGCCAGAAGTTCACGTGGCTAAGGAACAATAAAAAGTATAGAATTGCTAAAAGGCTGGATAGAGCGCTCATGGATAGCTCATGGAGGATAGCCTTCCCTGAAGCTTTTGTAGAGAATCTGTGTCGTGTTTTTTCGGATCACTGCCCCATCCTTATTCGCTGTGGCGGGATTAGTGATAAGCTCCGTGATAGGCCCTTTCGTTTTCAAGCAGCTTGGACTACACACAAGGATTACAACATGGTTGTTAGTAGAGCCTGGAATAAGAAAACCCCTAATATTCATCTTTGCCTAAAACAGGTAAAGGAAGATTCCCTCCTCTTCAATAAGAATCTATTCGGAAATATATTTAAAAGAAAGAAAAGAGTAATTGCTAGGTTGAAAGGGATTCAGTTAGCTCTTGAAAAAGGCTATTCATCTAGCCTCAACCGTCTTGAACAAAGTCTACAAGAGGAATATAATGAGATTCGTCTCCAAGAAGAATTCTTGTGGTATCAGAAATCTCGAGAAAATTGGGTCCGCTTTGGAGATAGGAACACCAAATTCTTTCACACACAAACTCTTGTTTGTCGCAAGCGTAATAAGATTCATGGTCTGTTCCTTGATGATGGGACATGGAGCACTGATCAGGAGGTGCTTAGGTTCGAGGCTCGTAGGTACTTTCTATCTCTCTTCTCAAATGAAAATATGTCTAACTCACATACGTTCCATAACAAAATCATTCCCCAGCTAAGGCAAGATGAAGCTAATCTGTTGATGGCGCCTGTCACAATGGAGGAAGTTCATAGTACGATTTTGGGAATGAAATCCATGAAATCCCCTGGGCCTGATGGGTTCCAACCATTCTTCTACAAGAAATATTGGCCTATTGTTGGTAAGGACCTATATATAATGGTACAAAATGCGTTCAGATATGGATTTGCAGATTCAAACCTCTTAGACACTCTCATTGTCCTAATCCCAAAGGTGGACCATCCCTCTAACCTAAAGGAGTTTAGACCCATAAGCCTCTGTAATGTGGCTTATAAAGTCATCATGAAGGTTCTGGTGAAGAGGATCAGACCTTTCATATCCAACTTGATCGGACCCTTCCAAAGTAGCTTTATTCCTGGAAGGGGTACCACTGATAACGTTATTATGGCGAATCATTCCCCAACTAAGGCAAGATGAAGCTAATCTGTTGATGGCGCCTGTCACAATGGAGGAAGTTCATAGTACGATTTTGGGCATGAAATCCATGAAAGCCCCTGGGCCTGATGGGTTCCAACCATTCTTCTACAAGAAATACTGGCCTATTGTTGGTAAGGACCTATATATAATGGTACAAAACTCTTTTCTTTTTGATGGTCCATCCCTGCTTTTTTTGTGCTGAAGTAAAGTTTCTTGTTTACTGTGTCTTACTGTCTTCTGGTTTTTTTTTTTTTTTTACTATAGATTTAATGAATATGGAGTTGATGGGGGACCTGCAGCGAAAGCACTCAGACCTAAGTTTGATGCCTTTACACATCGAGTGCATTCTCAAGTTGGCTTTCAACTTCCAGAGATTGATGTTAGTCTCTCTCTCTCTCATGTGCACACACAGCACATGCATGTGCCTTTTCTGGAAAACTAGATCTGCGACTGTTTTCATTTTAAAGTAATTGAATAATTAACTAATTAACTAATTCAATAATAAATATTTATGTAATGCTGTCTTATAGAACATGCAATGTATGTTGAAAGATGATTGTACCCTTTCATTATAAAAGGGACGTGCCTGATTAGAAAAGAGAAGAATAGGACATGCTTGTGTTAATGAATATTACTTCTGCCATGAATGATATAATTGAGAAGAAAAGTAATAGAACTGTAGATCTGTTAGCGAAATTGAAAATGTTGGGAGGGACAATACACGGTAGGTATGGGTTGGGGAAGTTGTGAAGAATTTAACATCACAATTTTACACTTAGTTTATACGTCAAAATGTACTTAAGTTGACTTTTCCTTCCTTTTTGCATGCATATATTATCATGTATAGTAGAATTTCTCTGATATTGTCTATGTCTTGAACAGACGAAAATTTTAATTGCTGGGGCTATTGCTCTGAAGGGCCTTGGAGGGGTTCTTTTCATATTTGGCAGCTCTTTTGGAGCTCTCCTTCTGGTATGTAGTCAAATTTTCTCTATGAATATATTGGATTTCATATTCTCCTCATGTAATTTAATTTATTTTTTTGGCTATAGCTCCTGCATCAGCTGATTGCTACTCCAATCCATTATGATTTCTACAACTATGACAGTGAGGACAAAGAGTTTACTCAACTTTTCATCAAATTTACACAGGTCAGAGCATTGAGTTATTTTCATGTCTCTGTGGCTGTATTCAAGGTGTTGTTACAATGTTACGTGATGTATTTCTGCTCTTGTTCATGAATATAATTTCTCCTTGCAGAATATGGCTCTTTTTGGGGCTCTGTTGTTTTTCATTGGGATGAAAAACTCCATCCCTAAAAGGCAACCCAAGAAGGCTCCAAAAACAAAAACCTATTAGTTGAGGCATTGTAGGAGTGTACCGGTTCTTCATCATATCCTCTCCAATCTACCAGGATTTGGGTTCTTTGGTTCAGTGTCAATCTTCCACCCTTTCAGTTTTGTAGTTTTGGCTTCACTCGGATTAGATTATTGGCTATGATTATTACTTTTATATGATCTGTTATCATTACAGCTTTAGGAACTATCTTTCAATTGCTAAACTTGTCTGTCAGAAAAGGAAACAAAAGGATGAAAAGCCTTTGCGCTTAAACTTCATAGTTCAGAGTTCCAATTTCATTGTGTTCTATTCTATCTATCTTGATGTAAGGTCTTCAATGTGTGGCACGTCAAGTTATTTCTTGACTTTGGTCCATGGATTTTTGTGCCCCTTTCCCTTTTCTTGTATTTTAGTTAACTTCCTGTTATATGATGATTTCTCCACTCTCAAAACAACTTTATGTGTTGGGTACCGGACAAAAAAATAATAAAACAAATTAATTAGATTAAAAGTTAATTTGGATAATATCTGATAATTAATAAAAGAATTCTTGACGTAAAATGATTAATTTGGTTAAAATTAATTCCATGCGTCTCAATTTAGTAAGTCAAATTAGAGGGGCCACCTTTGTAGAAGACAAAGTCAATTGTCAAGAAGAGTGTCTGACATGGGAAGAAGCATAATGCCAACAGTAGTAAGAAATGAATCCGCCATTTGAAAAGATTGAACAATTCAAAAGCTGTAAAAGAGACGTCTATGGATTGGAGACCTAGCGATTAGCGAAGGATTCATAAATTTTGTTACGGAAACAATGTGTATATATATGATTTTGTAGCGACAATATTTATTTATATTATAAATTAACTTTGTTGTACCAAAAAAAAAAAATTAAAAGAGAGGAGAAGAAGGTAAGAATAAAAAGAAAAAGAAGAATTTCAAATTCTAACTCTTTTGAAAGGAAGAATTTAAAGTTTTAAAATTTTAAAATTTGTTACAAATAATTAAATTTAAAATTCTTTGTAAAACCCCTTTCTTCCGAAAACATTTGAAATTCTTAAAAAAAAAAGTTAAATTTTAAAGCAATTCTTATTAAATCACATCGTTGTGCTAACGTGAAATGTGTAAATCAAAGAAATGAAATGCATTATATTTTGACATATATAATATTTTCTTTTAAAAATTATTTGTGTGTATATATATATATATATAACAAGGTTAATTCTTATTTGTTGCGATAGACAGCAAGAAGTCCAAGGTTGTCTCTATATATCATCCATCCCTCACTCTTACAACCCGCACTTGTTTTTTTCTCTTCAATTCTACATGGGTTGCGCCGGCCAGCTTCAACTGAATATGTCTGATGGCCTCACAAACATTTTCAGATTATTTTCAAACCTTACTTATATTATTTTATTGAAAAAAATATATATTACTTTAGGGACAGTATCAATCGTGCACCCAAATAAAAGGATCGAGGGTAATACTAATTTTCAATCAATTAAACATGCCTCACAAATGACATAACATAACCACGTACGCTAGTTAATTTCTAAACATAAAATAATACAATTGTTTAGTATTTCACAATGGGAGCCGGCATATGACAAGCGTACAAACGCTCAATTTAGTTTATGAAAAATACAAAATAAATCATATTGGTACATAAAAGATAGAAATTAACACACCAGGTCTTTAAATATGTAGCTCAATGGTTAATTTAATCGTTAATACTATTAACTCAAACGACTAATTTAATTGAATAACATAATTAAAAATTTCCAAGATAATTTTTCATTTGTCATTTTTCAAGGATTAATATAATCAAATCTACATTTAACATTGGTACACTAATTTAGTTATTTTACATTATATCACATCAGCATGTAAAGTACTTAAATTAACAGGGTCAAGGCACTTTCATCCTAAAAAGTCATAGAAATAGAAATTCATCATATATATATATATAGTTCTTCTCCTTCAACATGAAGAGCCAAGTCCCAAATCCATTTTTATATTTAGTCTCGCAAGTGAAGCAGTGGCAAACCACTAAAAAAAATGGAGAAACTTCTTTCAAATGGGTTCAATGTCGAATCTCTCCCTGAAGACTACATATTCCCACCAGAATTAAGACCAGGGAACCTCAAAATCCCATTCAGCAGCAACATCCCAGTGATTGATCTCAATGAAGCACAAAATGGTGATAGAAGTAACACAATTCAGAAAATTATCAAGGCATCTGAGGAGTTCGGATTCTTTCAGGTTCATAGTTCATTTTATTTCTTTTTCTATTATTATTATTTTTTGTTTATTGACATAATTCACACATTCTAAAACTGACAACAAAAAATTTATCTTACAAATTTTTTTGGGCAAACAATATGTAAAAAGGATTTCCTCTGCACAGGTTAAACATTTATAGATTATTGAGCCTTACATGTGCTATGTTATGCTCATGTTTAATGGAAACTGAAGTGAGATTATTGCAGGTTATCAATCATGGAATCTCTGAGAATCTAATGAACGAAGTAAGGAGTGTGTTTAAGGAGTTATTTGAGATGCCAGCTGAGGAAAAACAAAAGTTGTGTTCTGATGATCCTTTGAAGGCATGCAAGATGTTTACTAGCAATGTCAATTATGCAACTGAGAAGGTTCATTTGTGGAGGGACAATTTTTGGCACCCATGTCATCCTTTGGAGCAGTGGCAACACCTCTGGCCTCAAAATCCAACTAGATACAGGTAAAAATGCATGTGGAATTTTTACAAGTTGTATTTCTTTATTCAATATGAAAAATTCTTTTGATTCATTCAAATAAAGATTAATTATATATCTTGTTTCATTTGAATCGAAGAATTGTCTTGTTTTCATTCAAAACAGTAAGTTTGGTAAATTAGTTTATAATATTTATCTTAAAAATTATAGCAACAATTTTTTTATTAACACTAGTTTAAAAATTTACACCGATAATACATAATCATTAAACTCTTTATTAGAGAGAAAAAAAAAAGCTATACGTTAATAATTAATAGTGTAAAATAATTTTACATTTTTAATCAATCATAAATAATTATCAATAGTAAGTTTGTTGATTTTTACAGTTTATCTTAAAAATTATATCAACAATGACTTTGTATTGATTGACGGTATAAAGTTTATGCTGAGATGAGCATTTAATCCTTCATTTAAATTAAATAGTTATTTTGCTTCATTCAACTTGAAAAGATTTATTGGTTTGATACTTTGATCCAATATGCAGACTCTTCTAATACATGATTTTAAGTCTGCAATCTGCACCTGTAGTTCTAACAAATCATTTTTAGCAGAGAGTGTGTTGGGGCGAGTTCAGTTGAAGTTAAAAAGCTGGCATCAAGGATCTTGAGTTTGATTAGTGAAGGGCTTGGTCTCGAGTGTGGATATTTTGAGAACGATCTTGCTGGATCAGTGACTCTTTCAATCAATCATTATCCACCATGCCCTGATCCAAGTTTGACACTGGGAATAGTTAAGCACTCTGATCCAAATCTCATAACCATTTTACTCCAAGATGATGTATGTGGACTTCAAGTATTCAAGGATGGAAAGTGGATCGCTGTTCAACCTATTCCTAATGCATTTGTGGTAAACATAGGCCACCAGTTGCAGGTACATTTCTTTCTATGGAACATTTTCATCACAATCAATAAACTAATTTTTTTTTTGTCTATATGATCCACGTAAGTATCTTTTGTTTTTACAAGGTGTGACTTCTATTAGTTTAACATTATTTTAATACTGAAAATCGATCCTGAGAGTACCAGGTCGATTTTCTGTATCTCAGGACAAACCTTATATCAAATGGGTCAATAAACTTGGTTTAATGAACAAAATTAATACAATTACACCCATTTATTCAGTTTTAATTGTATCGTTTCCAAATTCCAACTACTTTCAAGCAGCTTATTTCCTAGCAACAGACAAATTTTATTTTCTTATGAATTTTGTCTCTTGAGTAATTCCAATTACATTGGGATGCAGATAATCAGTAATGGTAAGTTACAAAGTGCTGAGCATCGTGCTGTGACAAATTCAAGTGATGCACGCACTTCTGCTGCCTTTTTTGTAGCTCCTACAGATGAATGTATGATAGAGCCAGCACAAGCTCTTACTGATGAACATCACCCCCCAATTTTTAAGTCTTTCAAATACAAGGACTTCCTCTCTTACTACTTTGCCAAATATGGTGATACAGACGCAGTGTTGAAATCAGTTGAAGCACAAAAGAGTTAAGTGAAACGTGGAAAGCAAAAGGTATATATATTCCATGATGTAATAAAGGGAAACTTTGGCTTCTTTTGTGGTAGAACCGTAGAAAATAGTATCCTTCAAGAAATAAATGGTATACTATGAAATAATTGCTCCTATTTTGAAGCACTATATTTCCACTCTCTGCAATTTATAGATACTAAATATTAATATTATTTGTGACGTGCCAGCCGCGTAATACCGACACGTAATTAGTGATATAGGGTTGACATGAAAAAAGAGATATAAGATTTAATAATGTCAAAAGTGATTTCATTATAACTAATACTATATAAATAAAATTTATAATATATCATATATAACTAAATATTATATTTGAATATATAAGTAATATCTGAAATTTTTATAAATAAATATTTTTAATATAAAAATATATTTTAAATTTGAGATAAATAATTTATATTGTTTTACAAAATTATCTTTAATTATTGATCATTTATTTTCAAAATAATATATTTTAATTTATAAATAAGTATGATAGATAAAAAATTTAAAAAAATCTTTAAAATTGTTCTTGTTTAAGGTTAATTTTAAAAATATAGTAATTTGTATAAATGTATAAAATTTTGATACGAATCATGACCCTCACCGTGAAATTCATTATTATTATTTTAGATAATTTTATTTTTTAATTTTAAATAATAAAAAATAATATTAAAAATTAACTACTCTTACAAACACAAGATTTAAATTTTAGTTAAAAACCAAACATAACACTATAGTTGACTTCATAAATATTTATAATTCTTAAATATTTTAATTAAATATTAGTATTTTTACTCACTTTTTATTCTATTAAACAACTGGCTTCATTTTGTTGTCAACATTATATATTTTTAATTTTTTTTATTATAATATATTGTATTGTTTAACGAAAAATATATAGTTTTTTTTAATAATTAAAGATGACATAATTTTGTCACTTTCTAATTAATTTTAAAGTTATTGTTCAGTCTTAGTCCAACCATTAGACTAATTAAGTATTAAAAAGAAATTAACATTTATTTTTACTTAATATATTATTTTTTAGATTGGAATTCAAATTGGGAAAAGAACATATGTGTAACATCCAAAATTTTCTACTAATACCATGGTTAATTATTATTTATTTTTATATTTATAGAGATTATTTTCTTATAATTATTTTAATTAATTAAATAGGTTTTATAGAATATTTTAGAGATTTTTAATAATAAATATTTACAAAACTTATTTTTTAATATTTTGAATTTTAGTAGTCTAAAACGGGTCGTTCTAAACTATTAAAATATCTTATAACCCTAGTTGAGAACGAGCCGTTTTAAAGATTGGAACGGGCCGTTCCAAATATGGTCGTTATGGGTTAGAATGTAATCCCAGAACGGGTCGTTCTAGATGTGAATTTTGAATATGACGAATGAGTCCAGAATGGGCCGTTTCGGATTTGAGACGGGCCGTTCTGGCCACTTCTAAAGTCTATAAATAGCACATTCTACCACTCCTAATAAAAGCACACTTTTCATTTCTGACTTCTTTTTCTTCTACACTCTCTGAAGAGCAAAGGAAGCCTAGAGGAAGAGACCAGCAAGATCCAATTTTAGTGTCTTCTTCTGCTTATCCGGGGAAGGGGGGGGTGAGAAACCTCGCTCGGGGGTGTGGAAATAATTGTTGGATAGTAGGATTGACCTCCAATCCCTTGCCTGATGCATGCTTCTAGGAACAGGAAAAATATGAATGTTTTCTGTTTTGCTTTCTGAATGTTCTGTTGCGTCCCTTATGTGATGTAGAGTGTGAATATATGTATTTAATTTCAAAATTAAATATGTTTTGATTTGAATTAGAGTGCTATGTGGGTTCTTGAGAGAACCCTATATGAGAAACAGGAAAAATAGGAATGTTTTCTATTTTGATTTCTGATTCTTCTGTTGTACTCCTATTGAATGAGATGTATGAATATGTGATTAATTTTGAAAATAGATAAGTTTTGATATGAATTAGAGTGTTCTGTGGGTTCTTTTGAGAAACCCTAAGAAGTAAAATTAGGAATATGATCTATGAATGATTTGAGGCATTATATGTAAAGTTAATGATGGCTTCATGTTTTGAATAAGTTCTTGGTATGATTTATGTACTATTTTGATGTATATGATGACGAGAAGTTTCTTGTATGAGACTATGTGAATATACGTGAGAATGTGAAAGGTGAACGTATGATCTGTGATATGACATTGTGAAATAATGTGACATGAGATATGATGAGATGTGAAATGTGAAATGTTGAGTCAATGAAATCGTGAATGTGTGACATGCATCATTTGCATTTACCAGCTAACCAGGTGTACCTTTTTGTCACCAAGTGATGTAACCAGCTAATCAGGTGTACCTTTCGGTCACCAAGTGATGTAACAAGCTAACAAGGTGTACCTTGGGTCACCAGTGATGAAATGATGAGAAATGTGATTATGAGATACGTGACTGGCGCCACATGCATTTATGAGTCGAGTCCATGAGATCATTGCATGATGAATGACTGTGCATGTGTTATTGTTGTATGTATAATTTGAATTTGTACTTAAATAATGTGTAGTTATGACTATGCTTGTATGATGTGTGTGTGTTACCTAACTGTTATTTTACACTTGAAACCGAGTCAAATGTTTCTCACTCCCTTGTTGTTCTTTGTATGTGTTTAAAATTGTGTTGCAGGTGATCATCAACATAAAGATGTTGGTGATGAAGCTTAAACTTCAGTTGGGCACGCTCTGATAGGATATGTGACATCGGGACATAGTTAGGCGTAATTAGGATTTCATTATTATTATATTTTGGAAGAACTCATGTTTTATTTTTCCGCATTTGATCATGTTTTAAAGTTGATGAATGTGAATTCTCTACTCTCATGTTATTAGAATTGTTGTTTTTAATTTTAAAGATTTTTAACTCAATAAGACGTTCTTTTTATCATTATTATATATTTATGTTGGGGTAGAGGGTGTCACAATATGAAAGCTTCTTAGATAATAATTTTAATTTATATAATTTAGATATGTTTGAGAAATTCCTTTAATTTTAAATGTTGAAATACTTTAATTTCAAATATTAAACTATTTTGATTTCATATTTCCTATATTAATTTTTTTATTTACATTTTAAAATTTTATTTACACTCATTTATTAATAGGTTTTTATTTAAAATTCAGGATAAATTAATGTATTTTTATGTTTTTAAAAAATAAATATCTACCATTGTTTTTTTTTTCCCAAGAAAATCGATTAATTTGGACTAAACCAATTTATTGTTGATCTAAATCAAATTAATCAAAATTGATTGGTTCGAACTTTAACTTATTCTAAATTTAAATCAAAATGATTCACAAATACTCCTAAAGAAGATTTCGAGAACATATAGTTTTTTAAATTTTTTTATTAAATATTAAATTAATATAGTTTAAAATTACTAGATATTAAATTTATATAATAAAACATAATTTTTTAGTAAATAAATTATATTATTTATTATTTATTATTTTGTTTTTTGGCTAATTCTTTTTTATCCTTAAAGTATCATATTTATTCAATTTTGGTCATCAATTGAGAAATTTCAACGCATCGTATGTAACAATTTTACAATTTAACTTCATCTTATTAAGAATCTAACGATTTTTTATTGATGGATGACCAACAAATAGAGGATAAGATAGACATGCATTGATAGCAAAACTTGGTTGTGTGACATGTAAAAATAAGAGAAAAAACTATCAAAACATCAAACATTAAATTCAACAGATGATCACTAAATAATACCTTCATTAAGAACTAAAATTCTTTATTAATATTAAATAAAATATATATTATGTTATATCATTAGTATAAATAATATTAATGATATATTAATTAAAAATATATAATACAAATATAAATTTTAGTGGCTAAAATATATAAATTAGACGCTTAATACTTATAACATATATTTTTAATTAACCATCTTCTAATATATTTACATTTATTAAATTACTCATTTATCTATTAATATAATAATAATATTATTAATAGTTAATATTATTAGCAATGAAGGATTCACATGTATTATAATGGGGGCATTTGCCCCAATAACATTTTCTATATTTAATTAGTTTATATATATATATATATATATATAAAGGTCGGGATTTAGACGATCAAGACCTGGGTGCAACGAGCACTTTAAGATCGGTATTTAGACGATCCAAACCTTGGTGTGAATAGCACCTTAAGGTTAGAATTTAGAAGGCCCAAACCTTAGTGTGAAGAGCACTTTAAGGTCAGAATTGTAACGATCAAGACCTTGGTGTGAAGAGCACTTTAAGATTGGCATTTAGACGATCCAAACCTTGGTGTGAATAGCACCTTAAGGTTAGAATTTAGAAGACCCAAACCTTAGTGTGAAGAGCACTTTAAGGTCAGAATTTAGACGATCAAGACCTTAGTGTGAAGAGCACTTTAAGATTGGAATATAGACGATCAAGACCTTGGTGCAAAGAGCACTTTAAGATCGGCATTTTGACTACCCAAACCTTGGTGTGAAGAGCACTTTAAGGTCGGAATTTAGACGATCAAGACCTTAGTGTGAAGAGCACTTTAAGGTCGGAATTTAGACGATCAAGACCTTGGTGCAAAGAGCACTTTAAGATCGACATTTAGACTATCCAAACCTTGGAGCGAAGAGCACTTTAAGATCGGCATTTAGACGATCCAAACCTTGGTGTGAAGAGCACCTTAAGGTTAGAATTTAGAAGACCCAAACCTTAGTGTGAAGAGCACTTTAAGGTCGGAATTTAGACGATCAAGACCTTGGTGTGAAGAGCACTTTAAGGTCGGAATTTAGACGATCAAGACCTTGGTGTGAAGAGCACTTTAAGGTCGGAATTTAGACGATCAAGACCTTGGTGTGAAGAGCACTTTAAGGTCGGAATTTAGACGATCAAGACCTTGGTGTGAAGAGCACTTTAAGGTCGGAATTTAGACGATCAAGACCTTGGTGTGAAGAGCACTTTAAGGTCGGAATTTAGACGATCAAGACCTTGGTGTGAAGAGCACTTTAAGGTCGGAATTTTGACGATCAAGACCTTG